TGTTTGTTGGCCTTTAGGAGTGTTTTCCAGTCGAGTCTTATGGGGCCACAAGCCCTGGCCCATAGGATATTTTAAGAACATGGCTTTTACCCCCAAGCGATTCAGGACCCACGATGGGATTCTAAGCAGAGAACCGACAGGATTCCCCTGGCTGTTGTGTGGAGACTAGGCTACCAGTTGGGGATGAGGGAAAGATATTGATTGACCTGGTTGTGCAGATGAGGGATGGGAGAGTCAATAGGTTTTCTTGATAGGCCGGATGTAGGGTGTGCTTAGGCCAGGTGAAGGGTGTGCTGCAAAGAGCAGTCAAGGCTGGCTTCTGGCTTCTTGGCTTGAGCAAATGAGGGAATGAAGCCAAACGAAGATTACGTATTTATTTGGTGGATTGGTTACATTTGAGCAAAGTTGCAACATAAATGTGACTTTCTTTTAAAAATGTTTCTAATTTCATGGTAGCTTTTTCAACTCCGGGTTGTGGGAGGCAGGTAGTGGAGGGTGGTGGGGTGGGGGAAGGGGATCTTTTCAAGACTCCTAACCCAGCAACTGTTACAGTCTGGGAACTGAAAGTTTCCGCGTTGGGAGTGTTCTGGAGAAACCACACTGAGAGATGAGTCAGAGCGAAGTTCAGGTCCCAGTCTTCACACAAGGTTGGGGAAACCCAACCTGTAACTGTCCAGAGTCCAGGCAAGGTTCCAGACTATGTCATTACAGAGATGGCATATAAACTTCAAAACTTAGGGATGGCTCTCCTTGGATTCGACCTGAACTCAAGAGCAAGTTATTCCAATAGGGCAGGTTTAGATCAAACAATCAAGGCATTTTTTGGGAACTTGGGAGTTCAATGTGAAGGCGTGGTAAAGATATCTTTTAGAGAAAACAAGTTCAAGTGGCCAGGGTAGTTTGACAGAGATGGGCTCCGGTGCTGGACACTGGTTTCAAGACCTGTGAGTATAAGCTAATAGCTGTAAAGTGCTTAGCAGAGCTCGGAATATATCCTTATTCAAGGGCTATCCTGGGTGGAAGGAATACTCATTTCATGAGCAGCCTCACCCTCTCTCTTTTTAAACCCGAGGAAAATGTGCATCATTCCGGAGTGACAAGAAAGCAAAACAAAAAGCGAGGAACAAATTAATTTCTGCCAGTATTGCTACACAGAGCTCTCAGTACAGGGACGAGAAGCACAGCCTGCGTGCTTTCTGAATGGACGTTTCCAGGAAACTAGCCTGGAAAGGGCTGTCCAGAATCCCCCACCCCCCGTGAAGCAGGTCGTTGCTAGGCGACCTCAGGGCAGAGGGATCCAGGCTGGGCTGCTCAGTAGGCTCCGCCCCCACGGGAGGGCCGGCGACACCGCCCGCCCCGCTGCACCCCGCCTTCTCGTCCTGCTCCCGCGTCAACACGGGCGACGAGCTGGGCCCAAGCGCATGCGCTCTTCTTCCCGCGCGGCTCGACCGTGCCGGCTCCGCTCCGCCCCTTCTCGCACCCACCTCCGTGCTCCCCCAGGCCTGGTTCTGCCCCCACGGCATCTTAAGTCCCGTGAACAGAGACTACAGACCAACTGCACGCCCTCCGGACACACCGCCCGTCCGCTCGCAGTGGCGGTGATGCAGGGCGGGAGCGTGGGGCCGAAGCCCGAGCCCGGACGTAGGGAGTTGACAGTCGTTGCAGGCTCACTTCCGGATGGCTGGCGGAAGTGGCTGCGGGGGATGGTGGGAGGGGAAAGGGAGCGAGAGGGGAGGGCCAGGCCGCCGGGGGTCGAGGGGGTGGGGCCTAGGCCGGTGGTGGGGACCCGGCCTGGGCACCGCACTCGGACCTGGGCTGTGGGGCCAAGGCTCCTAGCCGAAAGGTGGCGGGCGGGATCCAGGTAACGACCCTAGCGCGGATTGGGGGATGATCGTCCGTACGGTGCAGGGGTGAGAGTTGAAGTCTAGTAGGGAGGGTCGCAGTGTCACCCCCTTTCTCGTGTACTCACAGCACTAGGTTCGAGGGAGAAGGGTGGGAGGAGTTAAATTTTTACGGAGTGTGTGTGTGTGGGGGGGTGTCATCAAGTACACACCACGCCCCTACAGGAAGTGTGTGTGTGTGTGTGTGTGTGTGTGTGTGTGTGTGTGTGTATAAACTTAGTGGGGAGGGGGTCACAAAGGTGGGCGCCTGGACTGAGAAATGGGAACACTGGATCTACTACAGGCAGACGCGGGCCTCAAACATTCCAGGAGAGTGCTCTCGGGAGTGGCCTTGGGAAGGAGTTTGACAGGGATTGGGAATTACATTCCTGGCATAGTTTTGGGAGCAGAGGAGGTGAGGGCTGAAGGATTGGGAACCAGCAGTGAAGGTAGAAGGTGCCAATATCCAGAATAGCTTTAGCTCAGTTGGAGCGAGCTGGGCATTTAAAACCCTGCACACACTAAGAAGCTTGGAAGATGTAAGGTGATTAGTATGTGGGTCTCTAGACAGGAGGACTTTCGTTTCTGTTTCTTAGAAGAGTCTCCACACATAATTAGTGCTCTCGGCTACTTTTTTTAGTGGAATATACACGATCCTTTTAAAAATCCTGAACCCTATATGTATATATCAATATGTGAATGAAGCAGGTCTATTATTACTTTAGTGTTTAGTGGAGGGTTTCATTATTATTTGCTAGGTCATAGTCAAGGTGTGTAATTGAGACAGGAGAAGAACTTGAAAGTCCTCGACATCTTTTTGGGTGTCTACTAGACTGGAGAATATGCCATAATGCTTAATATTCCACAGGTTAACAGAAACCAGCCTCCTGGGCCATGCCGGTTTTAAGGCCTCATGATCCTGAGCAGAAGATAGAAGGGCCGGTTCCAACAGTGGATAACTGCCCCTCCCTGAGCAGGAGATGGGGTAGTACCTGGGATCAGTCCACCACCAGACTTCAGGCTTAATTTGCCAGCTGGATGAAGGGATGTAACAGACCCCTGGGAGCAACACAAAAGCTTGCAGTAGGGGGGGAGGGGAGGGGCCTGGATACACCCCTTCCCCCCCAGACTCCTCCCCGTCTAGGTCCACTCATGGACTTCGGACCAGGATTACAGGAGAGAACTGCATTTCCTTTTGTGGATCTAATTTGGGACTCTGAGCATTGGAAATGGAGTCTGCATAGGAGTTTGATGATCTCTAGGGGAGCAACTAAAAGGAGAGGAGCAAGGTAAGACATCTATCTCCTTTCCCACTTGTTGTCTTGATGTTCCTGGTAGAAAGTGGTGGGTGTGGGATAACAGAAGATACTGTTCAGGTCAGGGTATCTCCTGTCTCCTGATGATGACCCTTACCTGGATAAGATAGCATGCATAAGGCTTCACTACCACTTTGTTCCCTCAGTTCCCAACCTCTCCTTACTGAGGGAAGAGAGGTACCTTGTAAGGAGAAGATGAAATGAATTTAGGCTTTTGAAGGGAGGTTGGACTAGATTACCTCTAAGAGCTTTTCCAACACTGAGATAATAGGCTTCGAAGTCATTTTGTACTAAAGCCCTGGGATGGATTACCCATGCAAAGGCAGGCTGCTCTATTTTGGGGAGCTAACTGAATAGGGTTGTCAGGTGGGGAGGGTAAAAGATGATTTAGATTAACTTCCCAAGTTCTCTCTCCTCCTCCTTCCCCTCTAGGGGAGCTTGGGCCCTGAAACTCCTGGAGAGGATGGAGAAACAGAACACAGGTTTAGGAATCATAGGATGTGTGTTCCAGCTCTGGCTTTCTTAGATAATTGACAACTCTAGATAATGTTGATGAACCCTTGCTGTGGTCCCTTCAGACACAAAACGGGATAACTAACCTTTCCCAGCCCCTCAAAGGAACAAGCGCAATAATGAGGGATTTTGACAAGGGCCATGTCTATATCGAACAGTAAGATTGACGTTATGTGCTTAATTGCTACATAGAGGAAAGTTCTGAATTAAGAATCCAGTTCTTTTATTGAATTATTGTGCTTGCTAAAACTCTCAGCTCTAGAACTTCTAGAGCCTAGAAGATGTCCTTAACTAGAAGCCTGCCTGGATCTCCTGTTGCTGCTTACATACTAACTGGGGTTGCCAAATTGTAGGAGGTAAACTGACCTCAAGGAAAATTTGCACTGAGGTGATTCTGCCAGATACTGTATTGGCTTCTGTGTTGTCTAGGGGACTCTAGTGAAGTTGACAGTGTGACACTCACTATAGGGTAGCTGATTAAAGAGGAGTGAAGCGAAGTTTGGAGCCCTGGGGATGCTTTGTTCACAGACCTTGGCTTCTAACCTAAAGGTCGGTGCTTCAAATCTAACAGCTGCTCCTCATGATGTCCCACCCAGCCTGCTCGCAAGGATGTATGCTTTGGGGCCATTCTACTCTGTTAGGGGCTGCTGAGTAGCTAGTGACCGCATGTGACAGTAGAACTGTGCCCCAGGGGTTTCTTGGATGTAATCTTTATGGGGACTGCCTGCACTTTAAGATGACAGCTTTTTTGGTCTTGTTCAGGCTGACATCTCTTTATTGATGAACCTGTATGCTGACAGGTTCATTCCAACTCATATGGAGCCTATAGGACAGAGTAGACCTGTTCCCTGGTGTTGCCTAAGATGTAATCATACGGGAGGAGATCGCCAAGTCTTTTCACTTCTCTTAACCTTTTATATTTTCACAGGCTGAATTCCCCAAGCAAATCAGACTTGTTGATAGTTATCTTCTCACGTTCTGCCTACTCCTTTGCACCCCATTTTACCTATGTCAAAACGCCTGCTTTTCTCAGTGACCACCCAGGGTGGAGCATAGTGTTGGGAATTTAGAGACATAGAGGGTATGGTCTTCTGAATGCTATCTTCACCTCTCACCAGCTGACTAACACCTGGATCTGCTCGCTCCCTGGAAGCTGGTCATAAGGACTGAGATCATTTGCAAGCCCCAGATCCTGTGTCTGTGACTCAGTTCTTCCCTTCACCTTCCTTGCCAATAGCTGCAAGACAGGCATAGTCACCTGTCTAGAGCTTTTCCTCCTCCTGTGGTGCTGATGCCTGGGAAGCCCCTTTAGAAGGGCCAGTTTTCCGGCGAGAATGTCATTTGCTGAGGCAGAGGTTGTGCGCAGTACCCCAGTGCCGCCTCCGCCATCTCTGGCCATCTCTGGGAGCCCGCACTGTGTCAGGGGCTTTCCTCATTGGACCGCTGAACATGCTGTAGCGCAAGTGTCTAGGAATACTTCTAAGCACGCCAAGTACCAAAGGGCTCAGTTAGAGTTGTGTAGTGCTTATATTATGTAAAGAGAACAGCCCGTTGTGCCAGTTTTCCTTCACGGCATTGTTTTGAGGAGGACAGAGCAGAGATTCTTTCCCCCAGTTTGATAGGAGTGTGGAGTGGCTGACATTGTCATCGCCTGCCTAGCACTGTGGTGCTTCATGGCGTATTTAGATTCTGCTGCAAACTTCACAAGAGAGGAATTCATTGCCCTGTGAAAAAGCCTCTCTGGTAAGATGTTTCTCCCTTATTGTGCGGCATTCCGTTCCCCGGGAACTTCCCCGGGAAACCTCAGTTCTCTCCTGTGCCTGCCTCATCCACAAGGCAGACCTCTAGACAGACACCAGCCCTTCTCACAGAGGCGTGTGGATCCCACGGCACTGTCCTCTGGACTCTGCTCAGACACCGCAGTTTGTGGCGTTTAAGTCACGTAATGAGGACCCATGATGGACTTAACCAAAAGTTGTGTGGACATTTTAACTGACTTTGTTTACACCCTTCTTTCTTCCAAGAGGAATTGTAAACAACTAACCAAGTTACATTTCACAGGCATCGTGTCCCTCAGTGATCATTGTACCCTTTTCTTCTTTCTTTGACCTTGCTGAGCTGAACTTTTGGGTCTCTCTGGAGTGTGAAGAACGGTGGGGGTGGGGAGGGCTAGGGGAAAATAGAGCACTGATTTAAAACTTTGCTGGTTTTCTCCTACTGATGGTTTCAAGCCAATATCTCTTAAAGTTCAGAGCATGAATCGTTTCCAAATTATAAAAAAAGAAAAGAGAAAATCCTGGTGCCTTGGGCATGGTTACAGGTGTGACATTTTCTGGAACAATTTTCACTTCTTTTCCATCCTCCTTTGAGTGCATGTAGGGTGGGCAAGATGAAGTGTTGTCCCTTCTACTTCTCTCTTATCCTGTAACCCAATTCTTATATTTCTTCCAGTTTTATGCAATCCAATCCCAGCCTCACGCCTAGCATCCTAGCTTCTGGTACCTGGTTTCTATCCTTCTTTCTCCACACCGAAGCCTCTATGACCGGAACTCTGGACCTGTTTTTCTAATTGGTACTCATTACCCCAACGTCTTGCTTCTCATAACAGCTATTTTCCCGTGGTTCCATCCAGTCATTCAGTCCGTCACCATTCTCTTAACAGGCCCCTTCTTGGGCCAGCCCTCTGTGACCCAGGAACTGTCCACTCTTAGGTCTTCCTGTTAGCCTTGATACTTAGAGCCCTCCCAAGTAAACAAAGAATTGTAGAAATGAGCTGGGCATTATGATGCCCAGAGATTTCCTCCTCCTGTTCTCCCACTGAACTGCCTTAGGTGGAGAAGGGTGACTGTTAGGGCCAGGAGGCATCGCACATCTCTTCATATGATGGTTGAACCACCCCTACCTTTCAGCGCCCCACCATGCCCTTCTTCCTGGAGGGTGATCGAAGCTCTTGGTACTTAAATGTCCACCCCAGTGTTTCCTTATTTTGACACTTTTAGGAAATGTTATCATTTTCCCTGTTGCCTTGACACTGAGTGTGTACATACAGGAAACTCACAATCCCCAACTCCCTTCATAAGAAAGCAGAGAGAGGGGAGAGGTGCAGAGACACTAGCTGCTGGCTGGCACATGTGCGTGGGCTTCCGGTTTCTCATCACTGTCTATGCAGTCAGCTAAGTTGGAGTTTGGAGACACACACTTACACATGGGCGTGCACACGCAGCAACACACACACACACTTCAGCTCCACTGATGTGTCAGCCCAGGCATTTCTCTCACTCTAGTCGTCCAGTGCTGGGTTCCCCTGCTGCTTCTATAAGGACTTCCCCTTTTGCCTCACTGGACACCTGTTGTGCTGGACACACAGCACCATCCCAGAGGGCACTTGTGCTCAGGAGCCCAAGAGAGGAGGGAATGAATACCAGCTTGGGAGTCAGGAAGAGTTGAGTTGAAAACTTGGCCTTACCCCTCACTAGGTCTTGGGGACGTCAGCAAGGTCTCTGCTGTTGAATGGGATACTCTTGTACTCTGCACAGCTGTCAGGAGGCTTAATGGAGAGGCTGTGGGAAGGGGGTCTGGCATGTAGAGGCCTGTGCCTGGTAGTCCCTTCCCCAAACTCAACTGCCAGAGTCATTTTGATTCAGTGACCCTATAGGACAGGATAGAACTGCCTCTATGAGTTTCTAAGCCTGCAACTCTTTATGGAAGTGGAAAGCCCCGTCTTTTTCCCTCAGACCCTATAGGACAGGGTACAACTGCCCTGGTGGGTTTTTGAGACGAAATCCTTACAGGAGCAGAAAGCCTCAGCTTTCTTTCTCAGAGCGGCTGGTGGGTTCCAACTGGTGACCTTGTGCATTTTCCACTCCACCACAAGATCTCTTTGGTGCTCCCTTATCCTTCTGGAATTAATCTTGTTTTAGCACCTCACTCTATGCAGGGTCCTTTATGACATGCTTCACCCTTTGCTTCTCTAGAACACAGCACAATTCCTGGTTTCAGGCAGAAATGGGTTAGCACTCAAAGTCCATCAGTTCTGGGCTGCTCTGGGGCTCTGGAACACAGGGTGGGATGGGATGTGAACTGCGGAATGTGTGTGTCCTGATCACATCATGGCCCTGGCCTCAAATCCTTACGCAGATAGTCGTTTCTCAGCTTTCCACCCTCACTTCCCAGGTCAGCAGGTGAGAGCGGTAGGTGGTGGTGGTGGTAGTGTGGCTTCTGCAGAGAGGGACGTGGTAAGAGGAAGCAGGGCTGGCCATGCAGATAATAGGGTGGAGAATAGCAAGCACTTCTGTGAGCCTGCAAATGGCTCGCCCTCTAGCATTTATCTGGCCTTCACTGAGTGGCCTAAGGAAACCTGTTCTAACCTCTGGATCTGGTGCTGCCCCCACCCCCCATCTCCAGATCCCCAGTCAGGGCTCCCAGCCCCTGGCCTCCTGTGTTTCCCACCTGCCCTCTCA